TATTAAACTACTACTTTAAAGGCGGCCAATTCACTGAGTTTCACCACATTGTCAGAAAAATTGCCATTCAAGTTTTTCAATGCTAATTTTCCCCTAATGTTTGTCGTTTATAAACTTAATTCATATCTTTAAAGTTTAGTAGTTTTAGCATAAATTGCCACATGAAGTTCTTGGCTGTAATTCTACCTCAGAGTTTTGAGTATCTTTAACTTGTGGATTTATTATTTCCTTCCCTAAATTTCCCAGAAATGTTCTTAGTAAATATTTAATATGTTACGTAATAAAACAGTGTTCAATTACGTCTCTTAGTCATTGTCTGCAGAAAAAATGCAAAAATATGAATTTTGCCCTCACACACTATATCATACTTAACGGTCACTTCAAGATTCAAGATCTGAAGTGAAATTATAAATTCATATTTGCAGGTAGGAACCTGGACAAGGACATTCTGCAGGAACAGTTCATTTCCAGAGTGATGCAGGAGGCAGAGAGAAATTAGCTCAAAGATCTTGTCTTCACGTCAAAAACTACTGAGTCTGGAGCAGAAGCTGTGGCTTTGGTCGTCCATGAATCTGGGACCATGTTTCAGATGTTAATTCCTTTCCTTCATCAGGGTGAGGTACGTCAGAGGATGGTTGTGCTGTAGCGATCAAGATCATTAGTTTTATCAGGTTTAAAAGCTACAGCGTGTGTGTTTTGCTGTGGTCCCTGAGTTAAATACTGTGTGATGTGCTTCACACCCTGGAAACTTACCAAATATACCCCCCCCCCCCAACTAAAAAATGTGTGTATGCACAAAAGATAAAAATCTAGAAATGTGATCAACACGCTGTGTTTTCAAAAAGAAGGCCTCTGCAATGTTTGAAGGATAGAGCTGCAGTAGTGATGCACTTACTGTTTAAAATCTGGTACCAGACAGTATTTTGTTAATGAGCTAGCTCATGTTTCTGGCTTTTTATCATCCTGTATTTTTAAATTATTCAAAATAAATCTTTTTTTTCTGAAAATGCTATTCTGTAATTTTTCATTACGGTTTACTTTTACATTTTTAACATCTTTCAAATTTTACGGAGTTCACAATAGCAAACTGTTAATATAACAACTACATGCTCAAGTGGTAAAGTCACAAGATACTCAACTAAGTGTGAAAAGAGCATTAACATCTTAGCTCTCAGTGTTTTGAAACGCATACAAAGAGGTTTCAAAGTTTGCATTTAGTGAACAGACCATGATTAGAACAGTGTGTTTGTAAAACAATTTTTTTCAACTAGAGTTTCCTTAATAACATTTTTACAATTTGTCAGTACCACAGTGAAGTCTAATCTAAGTCTTTATTTATTGAGCTTTCTTCAGTGGAACAGTTTAGTTTTTACTGGTTTGATTAAATCTTATATTAAAAACGGTATTTTTACTTAGCTCAAATGCAATCAAAATAATTCTTTATAAATTGTTCTTTATTTGCACCTTGAAAAATACAATTACTCCACATCAGTTGGATTGACAAGCTGTGGTGCAGTCTTTTGGTCTGCAGCTTAGTTTAAAATGTGCTTTGTGACGAATCACAACCATTATATTTTATGAGATCTGCTGTTAATGATTTGAAGAGCACAGTCATGAGAGAACCATGACACACACACACACACACACACACACACACACACACACACACACACACACACACACACACACACACAGTAGGCCCGGTCAGGTGAGGAAATAGGTGGAGTTTCCCCAACTTGGTCATTTGCAATGGAGATGGTTTAGTAGCACGGCTTTGGCACATATCCGCTGTTGAACCGGTTTGCTTTGAGGATGACTCCGCTGCTTATTCACCCCGGTCGTAAAGCGGAGCTGAGCCCTGAACGCACCGAGCAGCTGAGCCGTTTCCTTCTCGATTCTGATGCTGATGGTCTCGTTAAGACGACCATTGCCTCTATTCTTCTCTGGCTGCGGGGAGCCCCACCACGGCCATTTTCATGGTCACATCACCCGCGGGCATCCAGAGGTGGCAAACTAAACGAACCCGCGGGGGTTCCGAGGGGGGACACCTGGTTTCTTATCACGGGTTAGGCGTGGTGTTAAAAATCCCAAGAGCATCCCACCTCCGACTGTGCTGCTGTGAGATTTGTAATATCAAATGATTAGAGAGGAAAGACACAGCAGTGTCCTCAAAACTTCCAAAAACCCAGAGTGCACAAACCAAAGTCATTGTAAAAAGTGATTATCCAGAATATATCAAGAGGTTCACAGTCTGTGAAGCTGCTCTGATTATCTTTCTTTTTTATTTGATGTGTGTTGTCTGCTCTATAGCATCAGCTCATAATTCAAATAAATCCCACAATGAGTTTTCCATTTAACACGATAAATCACTACTGAAACTTTGCATGAATGGGCCCTGCGCACATCAGCTCCCTCCCCACCTGTATTCTTGTTTCCTGCTCCCCGCTGTGAGGGGCCACTCTGATAGGTTCAGAGGGTTAAAGGGACTGGCCTGCTGGGCTGCAGGCTCTCAACATATAAAGCCAACAGCTCTTGCTATCACAGTAAACAGCCGTCACACGAGGCTTAAGAGGAACCACACAGTAGATGCGCTTTTACGCATGACTTGGTGCCTTTGGTTTTTTACGCACGGCGAGCAATTTGTGCCTCTTTGGCACAGCTGAGTTTTTACGCGTTCTTGACCGTTCCACTTGTGGCCATGACTCTCTCCAGTGAATTTGAAGCCACACAACACGCCGCTTTGCCCACAGAGGAGGATGAGATTGACATAGTGGGCGAGGATAAGCCTCCCCACCGGCGTTTATATGGAAACGAGTGCTCCACGGACGCGGGCTCCTCAGCAGAATCTGGTGCTGAATGTGACTCCTCAGAGCCGGACTCGTCGGGGGAGAATGAGAACAGTTTCTTACAGCCGTCCAGGAAAGCCCAGAGCAGCTCGGTGAAGCCTCCCTACTCCTACATCGCCCTCATCACCATGGCCATCCTGCAGAGCCCACTGAAGAAGCTGACGCTGAGTGGCATCTGTGACTTCATCAGCAACAAGTTCCCCTACTACAGAGAGAAGTTCCCCGCCTGGCAGAACTCCATCCGGCACAACCTCTCCCTCAACGACTGTTTCATCAAGATCCCGAGGGAGCCTGGGAACCCGGGCAAAGGCAACTACTGGTCCCTGGACCCAGCTTCTGAGGACATGTTCGACAACGGCAGCTTCCTGCGGCGAAGGAAGCGCTTCAAGAGAAACCAGCCCGAGTTTGGCAAAGACGGACTTATGTTTTACTCCAACATGAACTTCCAGAGACCATATGGACAACCATACTATGTGCAGGGCCAGGTGAGCCCCCCACCCACCGCTCCTCTCCGTTACATGCCCCTGCAGGAGGGCATCATGATGCCTCCCTCCAACTATCACCTTCTACCACAAACTCTGAACAACCAAGGGAAGTGCGGCGGTGCCAAAGACTTCAGGCTCTGCGCAACAGAGCCCGGAGAGCCAAAGCCGGGCCCGCAGGCGAAGTGCTCCTTCAGCATCGACAGCATCATCAGCAAACCGTCTCCCTTCACCCCACAGAACCTAAACCCACAGCAGGGCCCGCACACCGTGTACGGTCACCTCATGTCGGGCCCCACCGCTTGTTTGGTCCCGACGCTCCTGCAGTCTCCCAGGACTCCCTTCTGCCCCCCGGCCATGCTGAGCACCGCTGCGTTAATAAACGAGCAGCTCAGACTCTCCCACCCTCGCTGCTGAGGACTGAACTGTGACTGTGTGTTGGGGGGGGGGGGGGGGGGGGAGCTCATTTCTTAAAGAAATGTTTTAATTGCATGATATTTATGTGAGTTGACATTCAAAGTTATGTCTTAAAAGATGTATAAATAGTCAGTGTAAATAAGATGAGTGGTAATATATTTGTGAAGCTCGCTGCAGTGGAAACCCTTGTTGATGGCTGTGTTTTTGTTATTTGTCATTAAGGTGTAAAAATAAATGTCTTGAAACATATCTGCAACAATCTCTGTTTGAATGTCTCTAACCAAAATGTGCAGTTTGGGTGCATGTACAACAACAACAACAACAACAACAACAATCATCATCCTGTCGATTTAGATCTAATAACAGAGACAACAAAACTTAATTAAAAACTGATTTAGATAAAAACGAATACATGAATATGTAAGATGTAATCTCTTTGGGAGCAAATGTCCTTATTTATACATAAACTAAAGTTGATTGTTTTCTTTTCAAAATAAAGAATTTATTCATTTTTGCATTTTAAGATATAAAACAAAGGGATGTTTAAAAGAAGGGAATACATTTGTGCTTTGATTGAGTTTCTCAAAATTAATCATTTGAAATTACAAAGTTTACAAAAACTTGAATTTACAACACACCGTGTTTGAAAAGAAAAAATACCATTGTTAATATTATACCAATATTATTATATTATATATTATTATCTCATGATAATTATTTAATAGAGATATTTAAAAATGTTTTCATTTATTATTTAGGATTTTATCTTTCAAGGGATAAAACATTGAGGTTCTTTTTGATTTTTTAAAAAAAAGTTCAGTTCTGTATTTCGGCCTCAAGGTTGCGCTGTTCACCAAAAAACTGGAGCAGACGTGATGCTGATCTGATGCTGACCTCTTCTTCTTTATGGTGAGATTATAAACCAACGCTGTAATGTCGTGGTTTCAAATCTTTATCAATTTAAAATATAAATCACACACACATAGTTCATGCAGGAGAGAATGAGTCGAGGAAGCAGTCCTGGCTGAACTCTCTCTGTCATTCCTCACTTTTAAACCTCTGGAAGTGACTCTCCACTGTCCTGGCGCATGGCTCCACTGGGCAGTGTGGACGGCTCAGATAGAGGCAGTGTCCGGTTGCAGACTGAAACAATTCCCCTCTACCATCAGTCAGAGGTCTATTTTTGTCCTGAGGCTCAGCTGATTGTGGGCCTTGAAGATTCTGACCCTCCCTGATTGTTTTCCTCACTCAGTTGTTCAGGCTTATTAGGAAAAGAGGGAGTTGTCCAAGAGCAGAGGAGAGGGGTTGCTGTGCGTAAAGTTTGGCAATGAGGGATGCGGGTCTTCTAGTTGGGAACATTTGACTTTCTTTGGAGCCTTTACATCTCTTCGTGGAGCTGCTGTCACTTCTCTCTCCGCCACTTTAAGTCTCTAGTCCCAACTTCAGCTTGTTTTCATCGGCGTCCTCCCCGCTGGCTCCCGACGAGGAGGATGGAGACGAGCCCCATCCCGGTGGTGACGGTCCAAACCGCCCCCTTCGACGACCAGCGGCCCGGTAGCAGCGGGCTGCGGCGGAAGACGGCGGTGTTCGAGGGCAAGAAGAACTACCTGCAGAACTACATCCAGAGCCTCCTGTCCTCCATCGACCTGCGGGACCGACAGGGCTGCACCATGGTGGTGGGCAGCGATGGCCGATACTTCAGCCGAGCTGCCATCGAGGTGATCGTGCAGATGGCAGCTGCCAACGGGGTAAGAGAGGAGGGGGTCTGTACACACAGGGTCACAGGCCTTCAAACGAACTCTTCTCCTATTCTATTTTATTCAAATAACTTTCTTTATCCATTAGGAACTTATCATACAGGTTTATCATAACAATATACACCAGCCGAAGAGCAATCAATAGTGATACAAGTGCAGTTAACTGTAAGATAGATAAATAATAATTAGTGTGAAAATCAATATATAATGTTTAAATCATTAGATCACCTGTATCTGATGGATGGGAATAAAGGCGTAATTCCTAAATCCTGATGCATAAAGTAACCATGTGGGCCATGATAATAATTTGTGGTTGAAGTCAGTTGTCAAACTCCAGGAAAGTGATGAAGCAAAAGTGATTTTAGTTGCATCACTGCTGAAGTCAACCTGCCACCATGATAGTTATTAAAATTGTATTAATAGAAGTTACACATTTTGGTGTCAGGGTGTTCAGTGTATGCATGTGCTGTGGTTCCGTCATGGGGCTCAGGACACCTATTGCAAGATGAATCTAAAGGGAGACAAGATGAATACCAGGGGTCCCCCGCAATCTTTTCCTTTTAAGGGCAGATTCTAAACTTGTCAAATGAAACAAAGAGGAGTGAAAAAAATCACTCTTGGAATCAAATGATCACATTTTATTAACCCTGTTCATTAACACCCATCCTGCATGAGGTGGACAATTCTACAAATAAATGGTGAATCGTTCTTGTTTGCATTATGCTTTAAAGTAGAGTTTTGACATTCACCCTTTCATACAGTGCATCACAGCAACACTTTCTGTATCACACATCACTCACACTCTGCCGGCACAGAGGTTCAGGGTTTTGCCCAAGCACACTTAAGCATGCAGCCCGTGATCGAACCACATGACCCTCTAGTTGGTGGGCCACCCGCCCTATCTCCTGAGCCACAGCCGGCCTACAAGTGTGAATGCACCAAAGATGCCGGCACCTAGTGATGAGATGTCACAAGAGGACCTTGCTTTGTATTCAGGGGCCACAAGCAAACATAGCGGGGAGCACTCTCTCCTATAGGTACAGTGATCATGAGACTAACGTAAATGTCTCCACTGCTTCGTATCAGAACTTGTCACCCATCCAAAGTGAGAGAAGTCAAAGTGTCAGCGGCAGATAAATGAAAAAAGGAAGTCGAGAGTGAGAGACACAGAGAGGAGGAAAATCCCCGCAGCTCATTTAAAACGCTTGCTCCGAGATCTCTGTGATTGGTTTGGACAGGTTCCAAAGGAAGATCTGAAGGGAATATAATTTGTTTTTGAGATCGCTCCACTTTTCTGCTGGCCCAGCCAAATGTCTCTTGACGTGGGTCTTATCAGCAGTTCCATCCATCCTGCTCTATTTTCCTGCCGACGTGTGCTCCCTCCCCTCCGTGTTCCAGCTGTCCTCGGCCAAACTGCTGGCACTGGGGATCCCCTGTTATATGGCACTGGACCAAAAGTCAGAATGGGGGGGGGGGGGCTATTCAGATAACCTCTCCCAGGAACTGATTTATTCTTCTTTCAGTCCTGCAACATGCCTGAAGGATATACACTGAGGTAACCAGAATGCATTCCTCTCCTGTGAGCCACACTTTCATTTAATATAGCTGATATCCAAGGGCATTATGGGATGCCGGTGGTGTTACCACTTTAAAAGTAGCATACAGTTTATAAATGGAGAGTGCAGCTCTGTTAGTGAGGCACCCTCGCGGGGCAGGCGATTTGCTTTTTAAAGCACGCCGTCAATTAGTCACCTGCAGAGTGACAAGGTACTTTGGGCTGGTGATGCTATGGGATGCAAGTATTTTATTCTAAAAAGAAAAAAAAGAAGATATCTTTCTGCTTTAGTTCCTATAGATACATATCATTTGACATCCAGAGCAACATCTGAAGATAGAGGAGCCTTAAACTTGCAACTTATACATATCTGTACATTATTTCAACATCCTGGGATGACGTGTAACCTCTCGGATATCTGTGCTGTGCAGATTGGTCGTCTGGTGATCGGCCACAACGGCCTCCTGTCCACCCCTGCTGTTTCCTGCATCATCAGGAAAATCAAGGCCATTGGTGGGATCATCCTCACAGCTAGTCACAACCCCGGAGGTCCCGGTGGAGACTTTGGGATCAAGTTCAATGTAGCAAACGGAGGTGAGAACGTTTTTTTTTTCCATTTGGGAAAAAAAGTGATGGTTTTTATTATATATAAAAAATCTATTTGCGTTTCTAGAGTTGACAAATATCTTTACTTTGCTGGCAGGACCGTCTCCGGACACAGTGATGGACAGGATTCACCAGGTGAGTCGGACACTGGAGGAGTACGCCATCTGCCCTGATCTCCGCATTGACCTCTCCAGGCTGGGGAGGCAAGAGTTTGACCTGGAGAACAAGTTCAAACCTTTCAGAGGTAACTCACTCATTCGTTCAGGGATACAAACAAACACATCGGCATCCAGCTCTAAGCTCTTCTCTGTGTTTCCAGTGGAGATCGTGGACTCAGTTGAAGTGTATCTACAGCTGCTGAGAAACATCTTTGACTTTACTGCCATTAAAAGTCTCCTCACGGGATCAGATCAGCTGAAGATACACATAGATGCAATGAATGGAGGTGAGACAGTTAATCATCCCATCATTTAACCCCTGGGCTATTGTTATTTGTAAATTGGTTAACGCCTCCTCTTTTGTTGCAGTGATGGGCCCCTATGTACGTAGGATCCTGTGTGATGAGTTGGGGGCCCCTGCTAACTCAGCAGTGAACTGTGTCCCTCTGGAGGACTTCGGTGGCTGCCCTCCTGAGCCCAACCTGACGTACGCCACCTCTCTGGTCGATGCCATGAAAGGAGGCGAGTTTGGCTTCGGAGCTGCGTTTGATGCCGATGGGGTAAGACTCTTCGTCCATGTGATGATCACACATTTTTTTATAGTGTCTGTTCACTTCAACCCACAGAAACTGAACTGCTATTTTAGTTAAATTTCAATGTATTGTCCTTCCATCTGTTTGTCTGTTTGTCAAGTTCTATTCATTTATTTATTCATTCATTCATTCATTGTCATCTTACCCATCACCTCTTTTGGTATTGCTGTCGCTTTAAATTACAATAAAACTTTCTACACATCCCATCGTGTCCCAT